CGTCGGCGACCTGGGTCCCGAGGTCAACGAGTACGTGCTCGTGTCTCTCTTCCAGTCGCGCTTCCCATCTTGCAAGTCTGCCAAGATCATGACCGATCCCATCACCGGCCTCTCCCGCGGCTACGGCTTCGTCCGCTTCTCCGACGAGACCGACCAGCAGCGCGCGCTCTCGGAAATGCAGGGCGTCTACTGCGGTAACCGTCCCATGCGCATCTCGACCGCTACCCCAAAGAACAAGGGTCCCGCCGGCCCTGGTGGCCCTGCTCACATGGGCGTCCCCGGAGGCCCTCCTGGAGGCATGTATCCTCCCTCCATGGGCGGTGCTGGTGGTCCTCCGGGACCCGGTGGCCCCCAGATGGGCTACTACGGCGCCGCGCCCCAGCCCATGAACCAGTTCACCGACCCAAACAACACCACCGTTTTCGTCGGTGGTTTGTCCGGCTATGTTACCGAGGACGAACTGCGCTCCTTCTTCCAGGGCTTTGGTGAAATCACCTACGTCAAGATCCCGCCGGGCAAGGGATGCGGATTTGTCCAGTTCGTCCAGCGCCACGCTGCCGAGATGGCTATCAACCAGATGCAGGGCTACCCCATCGGCAACTCGCGCGTCCGTCTCAGCTGGGGCCGCTCCCAGAATAACTCTGGTCCTGCCGGCACTCCATACAGACCCGCGCCTCCACCACCACTCTACCCGGCCATGGGTATGCCCCCTGCTCATCAGTACGGTGCCGGTTTCGCCCCTATGAAGGTATGACTCTCTCTCTCTCTCTCTATATATATATATATATATATGTGTGTGTGTGTGTGTGTGTGTGTGTGTGTTTTCTTTCCATTTCCTTCTCCCGCCAATTTTCTACATCTGTCTTCTCCTTCTTACTTTTTTCTTAGGCCGATGAGAACTAACCTGCTCATCCAGTGAAGATAATCTCGCCATAAGAGATCACACCCGAGTCCTCCGAGACTCCCGACCTTGAACTCTTTGTTTTAGCTCGCGCTTGTCTGTCTTGTTACTTGCTTGCTTTTTTTTTTCTATCTACGAAACGGAAAAAAACACAACACGGTATAACGGCTTTTCCACGTCAACAATTGAACCCACGTCTATTGCGTCTAACGTCTGCGTTTGCTCTTGAAGGGCGGTTCTTTATGTTCTTCCTTCCCCTCGTTCTGTTGCGCTGTGTGTTGTCTTGCGTTGCCCTCTCCTTTTTTCTTTTTTTTTTTTTTTTTTTTAATCCCTCCTCCCCTTCCCCTCCCTTCTTCGACTTGCTATGGTTTGGGCATATCATGTACCGCCCATGCTCACCCTTTCGCTTTGACTCATTTTCCTTGCTGTCTCTGTATTCCCACTTCCACGTCCCC